TTTCTTTTAATCAATCTGATTTGCTGAAGTCTATCTGATGCAGAAACAATTTAGTAGAAAAACACATATATGTAGAGGATGATGTTTAGAAGTTGATATCAGCAGAAGCTTTTAGGAATGTGGACAGCAAGACTTTCTTTTTGTTGAGACAAGGTATTTGGACAGAGAGGAATCAAGCATGGGGAGAGAAAAGGAATTATCTTACAACACTATATTTAATAATCAGAAAAATGCAAGAAGGATATTGACTACTCAGAGTCACTTCCAAGAGTCGAAAAAGATTTACAAATAGTAATCTGCTACAACATTTGTCCCTATAGAGTCGAAGTGACAGACAATAAAGCTTTATCTTTGTAAAGTTTAAGTCTCATATTTGTTTTTGCATCAGAGAAATAGCCATAAATTATAGGAAACTTTTTTTCACAAAAAGGGAGTGGAGAAAAGATGACAAATTTGCGGATATCATAAGGCATTGTCATTATTGCTTTAAATGTTTACATTTCATCCTTCAAAATGTTACTATACCCTTATTTGTACTCTTTGGATATTTGAATATTGAAACTCTATCATTGAATCATGTATCTAAATCTTAGAAAAGGCCTCATAAGGAGATAATTATAATAATAAGTGCAGCATTTTATCTATGATACATCTGTAGACAATAAATTTGGGTCGAGAAAATAAAATCAAGACCGAAAAATATCGCAACAATCGTAGTATTTTATTTCAAATATTTGAGTGTTACAATCTCTATGATTCCTCTGATTCTACTTTTCTAGTATAAATTCAAGGGCCTTTGAGCTTGATCTTGAATTGTAATTTGATTTATCCGTCACGAACACTTTGATTGTTGCCACGAATTTTATCACAAACAAGTAGCCTTGATCTTGAACACCTTGATTTGATTTGACTTCGTTCTTGATCTTGAATACTTGAATTGTTCTTCGTTCTTGAGCTTGAACTTGATTTCTTGAACTTGATTGCTTGAAGCTTGAAACTTGCAGAGAAATTTGCGGCGTTTGATCCACGAGCTCTCTCTTGCTTCTTGTTATAACTTCTGGTGTCTTTTCTGAGTTATGAAGGCCCCTATTTATAGTTGTGGAAAGGAGGAGTTGTGATAAGAACAAACTCTTTCTGACCAATCAAATTGAAATGTGACATGACCGCATTTGATTAGCCAGAACATGTCACTTGCACACGTGGCGTGATTTTATTGGCCTTTTAGTGTGACTGGGCATGCTTTGTCATTTTGACACATGGCACGATCCTATTGGCTCTTTCGTTTGACTTGGCGTGCCACGTCATTTGACGCGTGGCATTGGGCCTCTAGGAAGATGACTTCTTGGGCCTAATGAGATGGGCTCATCATTTGTAGCCCAATTAAATGGGCTAGCCCAGTCAATATTTATTGGACTTAAATAATTAATTCAATTATATTAGCCTATAATATTTATTTGGACCAATATATCTTGAATTTAAAATATAGTCCAAATTATTTAATGAATTTAATTTCAACAAAATTTATATGGCCACAACATCTATTGCCGCATAAATATGTCGTCACTCTAATGAAAGTTATCTTTTTTTCTTGCTAACAACGTCCGAAATACTGAGGTTCGGGTCTTACTTGATGCAACAGATCTGGAAGGTAATAGCAACTGCTCAACATGATCATCCCGTATTTCTGCATATTTCTGAGCATCGGAATAAGTCCAGATTGAAAAAAATTCCCAATTCTTAGAGAGTTAAAAATTCCACGGAAAACCAATAAGACTAAATGAAATCAATCGCTGAGTATGAGCTTAAATCTTTTTCCACGAAGAAACTTGGAATAACGTTTGTACTTTGAAAGCTGCATGTGTTGAAAACTCAAGAATCGACTGCTTCAAGTCAAATTAAAGCTAAATTTTAGTCTTTGGATTTTAACATTAATTGGTAAACGGCAAGACAAATGGCAAGGGAAAGAGATAGTATAGGAATAATTAAGGCACTTACAAAAGTTAGGGGAAGAAAAAGTGGGATGGAATGGGACTTATCCATCTTATTAATTTGGTCTTTACAAGTCAGGTGAGCAAGTGGTAAATCTTGGATTTTTCTCTTCCTGATTCTTCTCCAACGAATTGAAGGGTCAAATCCTTTTCAAGCTAAGGGAATGTCAAAGAAGACACTTGTGTTGATATAAATGTGTCAATTTGAGGGAGGTCCTAATTTGGGTCATTTTCTTGCATCTCCAAGTGTCTAAACGCCAGATTAATCACCCACATCACCTTTTACCTGGATTGGTGTGCACTTCATTAATAATAGCATAGAATTACATTCATACCACGCCATAAGCTCGAATGTACTTGAGATCATTAGAATGACCTTATAAAGGTTCATCCTGTGAAGATGAATCACAAAAGTAACTGCTAATTTCCTTGAAGCAAATTCAATTTTCCTTTGTTTATGTATTTTTTATTTCAACTATTATACATCCAATAACAATGACATTTTCATTAGTTTTCCAAAGGTAGTTAACATATCAAATGGAGGAGAAAAAATAGTACGTTCATATAGATATACTTCAGTGTCCTGGTAAATATGATGTATAAAAGAATAGAGTAATGAAGAAAAGATATGAAAGCTTTTTATTGAAAAACAAAACAAACTTGACAAATAGCCACGGTAGCTGCAACATGGTCAAAATATAAGGTACATTCAACGATTTTCCATTTCCTTTCTCCTGATAAAGTAAATGTAAGTTTTACGATAGAAATATATGTGAAACTTCACGTGAAAAATACTAAAAAATCAATTCTTTAATACATTATTAAGCCTAAAGGTTTTGAACATTGGGAATGTCTTGTATTTTATAGTAGAAGTAAGAATATTTTTGTTCAAAATACCAGTCTTTGTCGTGAAAAGTATTACACGAACATTTTCTGAGCAAGGAACAATATGAAAAAATCTTTGAATTACCTTCTAGATAGTCTCCGACCTAGGAAGAAAACATTAAAAGCAGTAGCTTTCAGATTACCAACATGTTACCTACAAGGTAACTGAATACCATCAAGTATATCCATGCAAACCTACAATTATTAAATGATAAGTAGAACCGCATCCAGTAGATACTGTACCTGACTTCTTAGGCTTCTCAAATTTCTTTAACGATAAATCAGTGGATTAAGCAACATCTGATCAGCTGCTTTCCAATTGAGAAGTAGCACGAACTTTGCATGTCTACCGAGGAACTGTACCGCCTGAGAGTATTCAAGTATGATCATCAAATATAATCAGATTCCCATGTATTAATGAGTCATCTTTTTAACATATATTTACTGTTAGCATTAACACTCAGCCACCAAAATTACATATTTTAGCAACGGAATGTTGTTGGCCAGAAGTAGACATATTGACCTGCAGCAGAAAATAGAGGCCATTCACTATATAGATCAAAAGGTAGACTTCGCATTTTAGGAGAAGCAGTTGACATGATAATAGGAACTATTTTTCCAAGAACCATTTTGGACTGTGATAGTGATACTATGGAACAATCTATGGCTGCTACAGGGGATACAAATTACCTCTCTGATGTATCTGATTTAACTTTTAGTTGTTAATTTAACCAATCCCCCCTTCTAACCAAAAAAAGAAGAAGAAGATAACACAAATAAACATGAATTCATACATCACATAATATGAAGATTAATTAATAATAACATTCTAATACTGATAATCCAAAAAGTTGATAAAACACATAAAATCACATGACTCTGCAGTACATATAAATTCCGAATTCAATTTACCACCAAATTGTTGCGGTTAAGCCAATCACATGACTCTATAAATTGTAATACAGATAGTTATTGAACCATGACACTATTCACAATCCTGTATATTGGGCATGACTTGTTGACTATCCTCGCATTTTTATGCTATAACATCAATCTGAGATTTAATTCCAGGCAGGGAAATGATAGATATATAAACATAAATGTAAGGCGAGAAGTATACTCACATCTAATTTAAAATAAGTAGAAGGAACTTCTTGCTCAATAAGACTAACCAACGACATATGAGTTGGTCATATTTTCCCTAAATATCACCAAAGATCACATAGGCATGTGGAACATAACATAAGATTCATGACATTTACACATTTTGATGCTTACCATATGGTTCATTGTCCACTAATAGTGTATTCCGATCACCTATCAATTGATAGTAGTTCCCATGTTTATCGATCCAGCTCCTCTCAAATCTGCCAGAGGAATTTTTTCTTGATCAGATAATTGGTTCAAGCCTGTCACAGTTACAAACAGACGATCCACGCCCTGTTCTGTTGCAATGCATGAAATATTGACCATTATATTGAAATAATGAGAGTTTAAGAACCAAATAGTGCTTTGCAAAACGTTTTTTATCAAACACCTTAGATGCATCACCCTTCAATAGCAGAGTAATGGTGAGAGTCATTTATAGGAATCACATATTACACAAAGTACTCACAAGAGAGAACGAAAACCGAGAACATAACCGTCACACAACTTCAGATCCGCTTTTTTAAGAAGGAAGAAAACAAATTAAAAATAAAGCAGAAAAACACACGCTTTCAATTCACTGTCAATGGACTGGACACCTTTAAAGAATAAAATTTGCAGACTATAAACATCATCTACACAACCAAAATTAGGAACAAAAAATATGCACCTAGGTATTTATTTCCAAACATGCATATCAAAATCAGATGGAATTTCAGACATGCATGAAGAACATCTAGCAAGAAATTATTCAAAAGAATATAAAAACAAAACACAACAGAAGCTAGAAAATTAATAGCTAGCAGATTATAAAATTAGAAAGAGCGAGCATTCAAGAAATAATTCTGAAAAAAGGAACAGGAGAACACTTGGACATATAAATTCCCACACTAAAAAAGGGAAAAAGAAAGAAAAGCCCATAAAAATCGATAAATTCACCCAAAGAAAGATGATACATTGAACTCTTGAAGTAGCGAAGCATGAGGAAAATTGCAGAGAGCCGTGGAGATATCAGAAATAGTGAAGTAAACATGGTTTATTGCACAACAAAGATGCAGTACACGTGTAAAATCACTAATGAGGTAAGCCCAACTATAAAGTATTATGCACACTGCCTTTTGTACAACTTAAAATTGCAGTGTTCGTACACCCAAAGTCTCACTTCTAATATATAGTAAAGTATTGCTTGGTTTGGTACAAACGCCATATGCGAATAACTATTTCTTATATTTACTCTCCAGCAATTTCTGCAGTCATCTACTAATCCTTGTCAACCCTTTTTTGCATGGAGTGACCAGGGCAAAGCTTAGCCTGTTAATGAAAATCAGAAACCTAAAACATGAATGAAAATAGTGAGAATTGACCAACTGGCAACCCCCTCACCACTTAAACACCTCAACCCAAAATAACAACTACCCCTTCTTTTCTGCAACTCCATCCCTTGTGGAACAACTTGCAAAGTGATGCCAGTGTATTGCCATTTGCCTTTGAGGTCACTAATTACAGGGTAAAAAAGAACATCTCCCCAAAAGCTCAGAATAAATTAAGTTCATAGCCATTATGAACTTAACTCTTTCTTGGTCTGTCTTGCTCCAAATCTGTTGAGGTGTACAAAAAACAAATTACTGGTCAAATTTTAAGCATTGTCAATAACAATTTCAAGAAGCAAAAATTCAGAGGCAAAAGAACTATCAAATTTAACAGAGTTACGAAAGGCAAAGATCTTACCATTTGTTTAAGAGAGCCCAAAATGCTTTCAAACTGCTAGCTCAATCATTACTCGAACTGAGACCTTAAAGGTTGAATAGCCCACGAAGGTGGAGGTGCCTGAAGCAGGATTGGTTTCCCAGTAATAGGATGCTCAAAAGATAAACTTTCTGCATGAAGATCATGACCATCATATCTGCTGCCTTTCCAATCATAGACACCTTCATATCGTACATCTCCTCGTATAGGAATTCCAAGATACTGGCAATGCAAGCGAATTTGATGTGTTCTTCCGCTTCGAGGGCGTGCCCTGACCAAAATCTCATCGTTCTTCAAGTCACAACCAATGACTGATTTCTCTTGAACTATGACTACAGCTTCATCTTTTTGTAAGTCAGAGACCTCTTTAAAACCACTGTTCACTGATAATACTTCAAAAGTGGTCTCCATGTCTTTAACAAGTGATCCACCTGGCAGTTTCCTGCCCACATCTGATGCAGCATAAACACGCCAAGCTCCATATTTTGATCGGCCATGACCTGATTTAACAGTTATTTTTTCCCATTTTGGAGCAAGCCCAACACAGAAAGCCAGGTATGTTTTCCGTACCTTATGGTCTGTAAATGCTTTTACAAACTTAGCTGCTACTTTGTGCAACTTAGTAATCAACATCACACCACTCGTATCACGATCAAGTCTATTAGCTAAATGAAGCTCGGAAACATTAGCCCCTGAAGATATTAAAAGTGGTGGTTAAAACGCAAGGAAACCTCAGAAGTACCCAAGTGGCATTTGTCAATTTATTTCTTCACTTAAACATAAGATGATTAAAATGTCTGTTTCACAGTACAAGTTATGGACATCCATAAGTCCCTGAAAGACCATCAACTTCATTCCTCTTCTCTCCTAAAACCATCTTTAGGCATTTAAAAGCCTCTATTTGATTATACATGGTGAATAAACAGAAGTACAAGAGTTATACCTATCAAGCATCTTTTATACCTATCATGAACTTCATTCCTCTTCTCTCCTAAAACCATCTTTAGGCATTTAAAAGCCTCTATTTGATTATACATGGTGAATAAACAGAAGTACAAGAGTTATACCTATCAAGCATCTTTTATACCTATCATGAACTTCATTCCTCTTCTCTCCTAAAACCATCTTTAGGCATTTAAAAGCCTCTATTTGATTATACATGGTGAATAAACAGAAGTACAAGAGTTATACCTATCAAGCAAGGATTTATTATGTATATCATTCATCAGAAAAACAACTAAATCATCTGTTTTCCTTCCTCCCTGGATAAGAAAGGACGGGGTAAAATATTTCAATACCTTTTCTTTTTGAACTGGTAGTATATTTCACTACTGGTAGGCAAACTCAATGCCTAGTTCTTTCATATAATGAGCTTCAGCACATTGTTGCCACTGTATAAATAGTTTTGATAACAAGATTCCCTGTACCTTGTGTGATAACACTAGATAGGATAGGACTAGAAGCAAAGTAACTAATTCTATCAGAAAGGTGGTTCTTATATTATCTTTCCGGAGTGGGAATAGGTGGAGACTCTTAGGGGCCATTTGGTTCATGAACTAGTTATACGGAGATTATAATATTTAATAAAACGATTATTATACGACAAATAATAATAGAAGGATCATTACATAGAAATACATGGATTCTCATGAGGTGAATAATAATACATGGATTGCTATGTGATATATAAGAATGCATGTATTGTTATGTGGAGATCACAATATACGCGCATTTTTTTTGTTGATAAGGAATAATATACGTGCATTCTTATTCTACGTTCTATCTTGTGTAAAACAACAAATTCCCATATAAGTTATACAAAGCTTTACATTAGAGACCAAAACGTGTTTTAGTAATGAAGAGCAGTATTAGCAAATGTAGAGTTTTTACTAAAAACCAATTTTTCATAAAGCTTTATGGTCAGATTAGTTTCTATTATATGACAAACCAAACAAGTCTTGAGGTTTTAATTTTGTATGGGGTAAAATTGGTTGATGACAGTTAGTCGAATGGTGAGGTTACACGTGGAACAAAAGGCAAGTGGAAAGTGAACCAACACATAGCTGTCACCGGATGCGGGTGTGTGATTGGTGCAGGATGAATCCCGAAGAGAATGTGAGCTGAGAATTAAGATTCAAAGATATGATATCGAATAGCATTTAATGAGCCGCCGTTACAGAAAATATCATCATTCAAAACCAGTCGTTATGCATCTATCAATGACGATTTTATTCTTATTCAAGAGGAGCATGATTTTAGGATCTTGTCTGCCTAAGTAAGCTAGAAATAGGAAGATTAACATCCATTATGACACATGAAATTTCTTGTACAAAAAAGGCTATACTCTATCGCCATATACTCAATTTTAACACTTGAACATTATATTCATCCTTGCCACCGGAAAAGGCTAAAGTCCTTAGTCAGGCTTGTTATCTTCTTTGATTTCATTTGATAATCTTATGTATGTTTTCATTTACTTACTGTTTTTGGGTCAAATCGATTCGCTTGTCTATAAATCACGCTATAAATTCAACTGTACCGTTTTACGGATAAACAAATTCAATTCTAACCTATGTGATTAAACATGGTCTAGTGAATAAAACAATCCCATAACCGATATATACTCTAGATTATCTTTATCAAATCTGCAAATGCGTCATTGTTATCAAACCTCTCTTGAGGCGCGGTAAGACCTTGAAACTAGGTGAAGCCCAAGTTAGACACTTTGTCTTGCTTAGATAGCGCTTTAATGCGCTAAACAAAGGCATTGAAGGCATACGCCACTTCACCGAGGAATCGGTCTTTAATAAAGAATAGCTAAATAATAAATATGTTAGTAAATTGTAAACTTTTTTAATCCAAATGTTATCCGTGAGTTCATTTTCTCCACTTCAAACTCCAGATATTACAGAAAACAACCAAATATTAACCGTAGCGTAAAATAAAAAAATAAAAAGATGAAAGAAATCTCACCATTGTCTTTAAGTAAAGCAGGGAGTGAAGACAAAACACTCTCACAGTAAATTCCTTGGGGCTTATTAACCGCAATGAGCCATTCATCTTCAAAGATAACATGGCTTCTAGAAAGAGTAAAAAGAGCGGATTTTGAAGAAGCAGTTAAGGCTCTATGCGGCTCTATTTCCTTAGATATGTCAGGCATTGGCGGAGATAATGGAATTGGGTAGTTTGTGTTTGCCGCTGTGGCTGAATCAAAGTAGCTTCTTTGGTTCGCCATGATGGAGATGAATCGATGGCGTCGGAAGATTCTGCCAGATGAACTGAGCAAAGGTATTTGACCAAGAGGGAACTTTACTGTCATTTGAGGGAACTTTTTCCCCTAACATTTATCAATACTGCCCTAAAGTTTTTCAGTTTAGTGTATTAATAATATTATATAAAACTAGTATGTATAAACGTGTTAATGCCACATAATGGTTTAAATATTTATTTACGTGAAGGAATAATAAAATTTAATTAATAGAGAAATTTTATATATATTACTACAACAATCATCTAAATGCCGAAAAATATTATTACATTAGCATAATATGTGAATTCAAAATGAAAGGACATCATCAAAACTTACATAAATGATCAATTTTAGTCATATTAAGTAGATAATTATGTATTGTAATTTAAAGATATCTAATGTAATGGTATCTTACCGAACACTTCTTTATAGACAATATTTTTTGTATATGTTTCCTTATAATACTTTGGTTATTCTGCCATAACCAGAACTCTTGTTGTCGATATTGATATCTCTTTTGAAAGTGCAACATATAGTTATTCACGTAAGAAAACATATTATAGTAAATATAGTCCAATATTTAGGATGTTTGTCCGTGTGCTTTATTTATTATAACTATAAAACATAAACATACTGAAAATTATTTTCACATGAATTTAGAAGAATATTCTTTAGTTTTGGAAGACGAAAGTTGAATTCGGGGATAAACAGACACTTAGAAGCACATTGACCAGTATGATAAGTTCCGCATATATGACGTTATCATTAAAACTTCTATATACCATATGTGTACTATTACATAAGTTATTCAGCAGATCTAAGTTTTCAGTAGCATGAGGGGCATATTTTTCTTCAAAATCAACCTATATGCAATGAAAGATCAATTTTAACTTAATCTATTATATATATGGTCACACTAATATCCGTAAGAAATAATGAACTTGACAATAAACATGTACGGTAGAAAGTCATTTGGTATTAAAGTATTTAAGTATTTTTCTTGGTAGTAATTGTTGGTATCATCTTTTGCTGAGTCAAAACTAAAAAATATTTTGTTTTACCATAAAATTAGCGATCAACCTTTTATTTAGTTGATCAATAAATTCATTTCTACTAACTAAGATAGCTCTTTAATTTCTATCATGTAATTCTCATAAATTGCATTTTAATCTAATGATGAAAATATTTTCTTATTAAATGCACTACTATTATCAGTGAGGTTGATAACCAAGTGTTCTAGAAGAACCAAATCATCTTTTATTGGATGCTCTTCTTCGTTTCCGACACAAAGCAAGAAGTCACTAAATGTTGGATCTGTTCTTACTTTTATATTTCTTGTCATTTGAATATTTTTTGTTTGAGGTCATAAGCATAATTTTGGCAAGCTAGATTTTACAATTTCTACTTTGGTCAATTTTGAAACTACTGATCATTTTTTACAGAAATTACCTCCCAAACTATTACTTTTCCACCAAACGGTTCATCGATATCCAATATATCTCTAAAACTCTGGGCGATTGTTTCGATCGTTTGACGCTTAGCCAAAAACACTTCATACCATATTATCACTTTTGCTTTCCCTATAAATTTAGTATAATTGTTCTGCTTTGATATATTTGTGATGGTTATTTCAGAAATTTGAAGAGGTATATCAAATCTAAAGTGAGTTGTACGACCTCATAATAAAATCGTTGTTGGTACACCACTTGTTCTTATTTCTAACAATATCATGCCTCTTGATCTGATATTTGCAAGTAATGTATGGCATAAGAATATTATTTTGATTCCGCCGGAGGCATCTACAAAGGATAATCTCGCTATACCAGAGTCGACTTTTTATAATATAGTCTTGAAAGGTTATTCTTGTTCAGGATTTAGCTTTGATTGTGCTTCCTCAAACACTTGTATGGCATTCTTAATATTATACTAATCTTTTTTACTTTGTAATCTATTTTTTTAATTTCTAATACTATTTTTATGGAATAAATTTATGTATCCTGAATTTTTTTTTTACTTGAAAAATAATTTTACTCGTATGATGAATTTGAAAAATAATTTAATTAGATTCTCTTGCTAAATAATTAATTGAAAGATTTGATTATTAAGTTTTAATATTATATATAATTTATTTTCTGTTGATTTAGATTCTTAATACTAGTTCATCTCATGTTTGAATATTTAACCGTAATTATAATTTTATCCACTATAAACTTCATTTTCAAAGAATAAAAAGATTGATATGGCATTCCATTTTTAGATCTTTATGATTGCAAAATCATTAGTGGTATTGGCTCTTACCAATCTTTTTCTTTCTTTTCTCACACATTTATATTCTTAATTTTTTTTAGTTGTTCTTTAATAATTGGGTATATTTTTCTATATTATACGAAAAATTAATAATAAAAAAATATTATTTGAGTAGGAAAGCAGTTCAAATATAATATTGTAATGACCCGACCGGTCGTTTTGAACTCTAGCGCATCGTTCAGCAGTTTGAGGCCATGAGCAGCTTCACTTCAGGTATTATGACTTGTAC